CATGTAGGACCACCTTTAGCCCTCAAAACTGCTAGCACCCGCCGTGGCATTGATTCCACAAGGAGCTGATAGGTAGTCTGAGGTATCTGGTTCCAAGCGCTCACCAACTGGCTCACATTGCGAGGGGGTAGCGTGGCAGCACGAATTTGGTTTTCCAAGTAGGACCACAAATGCTCTATTGGATTAAGGTCAGGTGAATTTGGAGGCCAAGGCAGGACTTGAAAGTCACTGGAATGTTCCTCGACTATTCGACCCTTATGACATGGTGCATTATCCTGTTGGTAAACATCATCCCCCGTAGGAAAAACTGTTGCCATGAAAGGGTGAACCTGGTCTGCAACTATATTAAAGTAGCTTACAGACGTCAGGGATTGTTCTATGAGGATTATGGGTCCTAATGTGCCCCATGAAAACATTGTTCCTGGGCAAGGAACCATGAAAACCTGGGCGAGCCCATTGTTATAGATGGAGGGTGTAATGGCTCTTCGGTGTGTGTATAAACTTTAATTTTTTATTAGCAGATACTATCTCTGCAGCACTAACTTCATAAATCCAAATTATCTCAACAAATCAGAGAGATTTCAATGTTAACATTTTCAATTTTAACATTTTAACATTAGGTCACAACATTTAGGCGATCCCCAGCTCTATATAACCACTTAGAGCCGCGGTGGCTCAGGGGATAGAGTGTACCCCTTCCAATGAGGTGAACCGGGGTCGAATCCCAGAGATGGCTGATCAATATGAATTCTGCATCCGGCTTGCACCGACCACAGTGTTGACGTAAAATATCCTCAGTGATAGACGGATCATGGGTTAGTCCCCTTGCAGTCAGGCTAACCGTGGGAGGTTTTCGTGGTTTTGAACCCCATGTATCGCAAATGCACTTTGGTTCGATCAAAAAGTTCTCCACGAATTCAAATTTCGCCCCATACTTGATCCAGGAGCTCCTTTGTCTTCTGGATTTGCTTCAAAATTTCTAGGCTACGAAATTGAACATTAGTAGTCGTAAATCCAAAATTGGGTCGACTGTTCAAAGACGGATATAAAGACAACCATTTTAAACTTGTGCATTTCGACAAAAAATAGACTGAAAATGTCATTTAAAAAATATCTTTTATTTGGCGATAGGAACTGACTGCAGATACGAAACCACGGTTACGAAATTATCTGAGACACATTAAAAAAATATCACTCAACAGGAAAAGAAAATCCCCCCAAAGTAATTATTAAAAGTTAACTTTTAGGAGAAGTTAGCTTTTACATGGGATTATCTTTGGATTTCCGTGTCTCATAAGTATTCTCTTATGAATTACCATATTTGAGGTCAGTCCTTCGAAAAATTAAGATTGAGTCTTTGTACGTGAAATCTGATTGTTATATCAAAAGTTATTCAGAATGTACCATTTTTTATTTTATTTTGTGCATTGAGCAAAACTATATCCTTTTGTACATGATTGACAGGCCAGTAGAATTTGATCCTTAATGTATAGATTGTCTTTAAAACAGCTATTTGTTATAAAGCGCATTAGAAGTTCGTTTATGTCCAACATGGCTTCGTTCCTGTCTTTTTGTAAATATATAGTGAAATAATTGAAATCTTTGTAAAAGAATATAGACTGTGTTACTTAAGAGAACTGGTATTTGGTGGGCTTGGCTTGCTCGAAATAGAATAGAAGGAACAGCTGCTGACGTAAACAAATGCCACGTTTCAACAACTAATCAGGATCGAGATACCCACACTACGTCACTCGCAGGTATCTCATTATCACATGAATGGAAGAGATGAGTAGAAAAACAATCGAAAATCAGTTTTAAAAACAAGCGTAGATTCACTTATTGCTGACCCTGTAGGAGAAAAATCTTCTATAATTTTCATAAATAACCCTTCTATAATTTTCACTATTTCTTATATAACTTCTTTTTTTTCAGTGTATTTACTCTGTTGGGCGGAGATTTTTAAATGAAACTCTACTAACGGGTAAGATCTGAAACATTCAATATTTTATGAACCGTGTAGAGTATGTTGATGGATACGGTAATCTGCAAGAAATGTGGAATGGAAAAAAAGGCTCTCCTGTGTTTTTCTCATCAAGATTTCTTAGTATTTATATACATAGAATTTCTGAATTTGGTAATTTAGAGCACAGTTCTTGATGACAAATTTTTGAATGTAGGTTAAATGCTGAAAATCCTAAAAAAGTTTGTTCAATAGAAAATGGTCTAAGATACATAATTTCTGAATTCGGTAATTTTAGAGCACAAACTTTGATGATAAATTTTTGAATGTAGGTAAAATGTTGAAAATCCTACCAAAATTTGTCCAGTTAAAAATGATCTAAAATACAGAATTTATGAATTCGGTAATTTAGAGGACAAACTTTGATGCCAAAGTTTTGAATGTAGGCAAAATGTTGAAAATCCTAAAAAAGTTTGTCCTATAAAAAAGGGTCCAAAATACAGAATTTCTGAATTCGGTAATTTTGAGCACAATTTTTGATGACAAATTTTTTAATGTAGGTAAAATGTTTAAAATCCTATAATTAAGTGATCTTAAAATCCTAATCAATATTAGATAATGAGCTAAATGTATATCTTTTTATGAATAAATCTCTATCCTGAGTATATGTTAATGTAACATCATTAGAAAAAAAAGTTAAATAAAATTTCAGTTTCAACACAAGCATCAGACGTTTTCACGGTTTTTACAAATTTTATGATTGATTTACTTTCCATTTAAAACAAATTATTAAACCTCTAATCATCATATTATTAATTTTTTTTATTAAAACCACTTTTCTTTAAAAGTAAAAGGCATTACCATATAAAATTACTCACTACTACTCCAAGGATTTGCAACTAAAAAGTTAACATCTTGCAATAGAATTTGCCAGAAAAATGATTAAAAAATAAAAACGGATTTTTTTAAAAATTTTTAATTATAAGATTTATACGAGCCTAAAATCCTTTTTGCTACCATGCGACTCCTCTTACCACTTATAACTTTTTCAAAAGTGTGGCTGCTATGATATCACTAATGTTTAAAAAAAATTATCAATCTCGAAGGGCAACAGAAATACCTTGCTTTTACAATATGAGTTAGACACAAATTATGGTCTAATGAATTTCACGTATTTAGATGTAGCAATAATGGTAGACCATACAAAGGCTTATTAAAAATCGGATACACTAGTTTAAGTCAACATATACTTATCACGAAGTATGATTATGTTATGTATTATATGACGATTTACAATAGTTCAATCTATGAGGTGAGCCGGGGTTCGATCCCGGCGATGGCTGGTCCATACGAATTCCGCATCCGGCTTGCACCGACCACAGTGCTGACGTTAAATATCCTCAGTGGTAGACTGATCATGGGTTAGTCCCCTTTCCGTCAGGCTAACCGTGGGAGGTTCTCGTGGTCTTCCTCTCTATGTAACGCAAATGCGGGTTAGCTCCATCAAAAAGTCCTCCACGAAGGCAGCTTTCTCCCAATACTCGATCCAGTAGTTCCCTTGTCTTCTGGATTGGGTTCAAAATTACAAGGCTACGGAGTTGAACATTAATAGTAGTAAATCCAAAAATTGGGTTGGCTGTTCAACGACGGTTATAAAATAAAATAAAATAAAATAGTATAATCTGGAGCCGTGGTGGCTTAGGGGATAGAACGTTCGCCTTCCAATCAGGTGAACCGGGTTCGATTCCCAGCGATGGCAGGTCGATTCGAATTCCGCACCAACCGCAGTTGCTGTCGTATATTATCCTCAATGGTTGACGAATCATGGGTTAGAATTCCCTTGCCGTCAGTCTGACTGTAGGAGATTTTCGTGGCTTTTCTCACCATGTATGGCAAATGCGGGTTAGTTCCATTAAAAAGTCCACGAAGGCAAATTTCTCCCAGGAGTTCCCTTGTCTTCTGGTTTGAGTTTGAAATGACGAGGCTACATTGGTTGCCATAAACTCAAAATTGGGACGGCCGTTCAACGACAGTTATGAAATGAAATAGTTTAAAAATAGAAAATAACTTTTTGGATATTCCACCATATATCTGGAATTTTGAAGGCGAATCCGAAATAATTTTTCACAACGTGTGCATCGAAAGGTAATTTCACATAAATCATTTTTATAATTATTTTATTGAGTGATAATCGAAGGAAAAAAATTATTTTGCATCATGTTTAGTTAACAAGTGTGAATGATAGAATTATTTTTACTTCCAATTTACTATAAAAATAAAAAAAACATGATAGTCAAAAGTAGTCGAGCTCATTCTAGGATTAAAGCTGCATTTAAAACTGTTTTCGGAAATCTGCAATTTTTGTGAAAGTGTTAAATATTATTATTATAAATAATTGTTCTTTCAGCTGCTGAAAAAAATCCAAATGTAGAGATTTTTTTCAAGAAAAAATTTTTGGACTGCAATTTTAAAGAGGGAAGTTACAAAGTACTAGGGTAAGTGTTATTTCATTCAATCGATACATATTGAACCTAACTTTCTAAACAAATATTTATTTTTCTGCATTCAATGAAAGTGATAACAATAAAGTGTTTCTTCCAAGACTAAGATTTTTGCCGAAAAAACAAATATTAAAAGTGTAATTGTTATTAAATGTTTTATTATCACCTATCGAATTTCTTGCATTTTTGCTTTTAAAATTACTCATTGTTTATTTCATCTTAAACGTAAATATAGTTTATGTAAAGAAATCCTATAGCCATTTGTCTCGAGTAGCAGCGGTCACTCTGGTTACGAGGAGGTTTAACCATTTTAGACAGGGGTGTTGGGTCATTATTTAAAACAGAGTTTGGTTCGGGTCAATGAAGGAGGGGAAGTAAGGGGAGAAAGAAGCTCCCCTCTTTAAAATGCGTTATTTCTTGTTTCCATAACGAGGGGAGTCCGTTCTGTGGACAAACTATACTTCCCCAAGCTTTAAATTATGCCAGACACGAACTTATGCTTGTGGTAGGAGGGAAATTCCCTTTATTGCCGAATGAAATTTCGAATTTGACCGAATCATCAATAAGTGTGTAATACATTAGCTTCAATAAAAAAAAATTACTAATATATTTTTAAAATATGTTAATTTTTTTCACAAATATATTGCAGATTTAATGACTTAATACTTAATTGTTCCAGTCAATCAGCTGCAATAGATCAATGGGTAACTGCTGTGAGAAACTGGGGTTCGATCCTCGGTGGTGGTTTGAAGTCCACCTGTTTGCCTGGAAAGTAAAGGCTGTCTGTGCGCAATTCTGACCACATTGTGGATACTTAACCTTCGTGAACCCAATGCCTGTAACACGCAGGGCTGTTGAGGAAATTTTCTGTTTTAATTCTACTCGATAAATAAAATAAGTAACGAACCATTTGATAAAGAAATGTAGAAGAAATAAATTAGTTCGCAGCTAAAATGTTTCATTATCCCATGAATTGAATAACAAATGATTTAGTAATCGACACATCTCGTTGAATACCGTATAGAAATAAAAAAGGTATTCTGAGAATGCTGGTTTAACCTCTTCCCCGATAATCCCGAGTTAACTCGGGTATGTATATATTGCAAATATTTACTATCCCGAGTTAACTCGGATATGTATATATTGCAAATATTTACTATTCCGAGTTAACTCGGATATGTATATATTGCAAATATTTACTATCCCGAGTTAACTCGGATATGTATATATTGCAAATATTTATTATCCCGAGTAAACTCGGGTATAGTAGAATTTGTCAATACGTTTTGTTTCATCCCGTTTTTAATCGGTCGGAAGCAAAACAAAAAATAATAATAATCTGCTGTGATTGGCCAGTTTGCCAATGTTTGTTTGGGAGTTTTACTATTTGTGGGACTGCAGACGTGTATTATTGACAGTTGTTAATAAGATGGTTGGTGAATTTACATGTAAAAAAGAGTAAAAAAAAATGGCGTTCGCGATCAAAAGTGAAAGTAGTGCAGATGATTTTTCAGATTATGAAGATGTGAACATGTACAAAGACTATTATTTAACTTTTTTTAATAAGATAACTTGGGATAGTAAACTGATGGTAAATTAAATATTTTTTACCTATAAAAAAATTAACATTTCAACTTAGAACTTGTGTATTATGTTCTGTTTAACCTTGGGAGGCAGGTTTACATTGTGTCAATATAAGCTAGACTTCTCCCCCTATGTATAGTTTGTCTAAAGTAAGAACTCCCCTAGCCATTCGTCAGGACCCGTGGTGGGGACTATGGTAACGAGATATAACTATTTCAAGTGGAGTCACTGTTTAGTACATTGGATCTGTGAGAGAAAGGTCTATTGTGTTAGCCCTAGAGTGAAGATAAGCTACCCTACCTGAAATGCGCTATTCTTGTTTCCATAGCAGCAGACGGCCTCAGACTTAGCGGCGGGGGAAGTTCTTACTACATATTTTTTGCCTTTGCACAGGTTGTTTCGTCATCAATAAAACAGTTAGTTTAAATAATTGTTTTAAATCGTCTGCTAACTCTTGTAAATATAATAACTACAACTTTGGCTGGTTGCTAGGCAACCCAAACGTCTTTTCCTTGTTATTAATGTTTCTGTTTATCGTTCGTCTGTGTATGTCTGCGGAAATAAGAGAATACAAAACCTAACACAGGTCTTCGGATCATCCTCAGAGATGTGCAGCTCAAGCGAAAATAATTTTATTTTATAAAATGTTATTGATGTTTCATTCTAATTTTAAATTAGAATGAAACATCAATCAGGGGGTTAAGTGGAAAAACTGTATTAGTTCAGCCTGAAAAGAGATTCGAATTATTTTTATAGCCCTGATGGAGGCGTGCGAGAAGACAAAACTGATTTGCTGATAGGATGCGACGGAGCATACTCATCTGTCCGACGACAAATGTTGAAAATGCCTCGCTTCAACTACAGTCAACATTACATCGAGCATGGGTATTTGGAACTCTGCATACCTGCGACAGAATCAGGCGAAGTAAGAACGTCTATATAACCTCACTTATAATAATATTAAAGAAATGGAGGGAATGTCATAAAAACTTCCCTTCTCTCAACAATAGAGAAACTCAATAACCCCTTAGAAAACTTCGGATTCATAAACATAGGATATCTAACAAAGACAATTTCCTTTGGAAAATTTCATACAGTGTACTCTCGAAATCTTGAAAACCTTGTTGTGTCAAAAAAATATTTTCCCCCTTCGCACAATGGAGGGTGTTTTCTACACTAGGGAGCGCTGCAAGCTCCATACCGCCTATACTTCCGGGTTACTGATTCCGTTGTATTTAAAAGCCATTTGGCTCACAGCGTGTTCATTGTGTTTTGAGATTCTTGCAAACGTGGTATCTGATTACTTATTACTTGTGTTTAGAATGCCAACAATACTTATGTTTACAATGCTAATGGTGCTAACAATAACGTAAGATGGTGCACAGCTTGCAACAAGAACAAGCAGTGATAAACAAATTGAAAGAGGCCAAATCAGGACTGCCAAAAAAGCGAGTTATTCAAAATCCAGCAACCATGTCACCTCTTTTAACAATATATCTGTAAGTAACTAAAACAAATGTTCACTTTAAACTTACCAAAATCACTTAATAACATTAATATATTATGAAATACGGCAGATTTGAGCTCAGAAACTATTTAATTTATTTCTTTTATTGAAAACAAAATTATCCGTTTGAAAATATCGCCTCGCAAAATAAGCTGTAGTAAACAGTAGCAAACTTTCTAACCGGAACTAGAACAGGTATTGAGCTCAAGATTGTTATTGTTTACATTTATATTGAAAACACCATCTATATATCCACTTAATGTTATTTTTAATTCCTATGTCGAAGTGATTCTTTTTCAAAACCTTGTTATGTCGAAATTTTTTCGAAATAGAAAAGGAATTTTTTCTGAAGAATCACCATTTAAGTTCATTGTGAACCAATTCCTTTCTATATAATGCATAATTGTTCGTGTCTTACTTTTAAATTATCATTGTTATATTTTTACTTATAGTCAACTAACATTTCATACAGATTTATTGGTAGTTATTCTTATGTTTCCAAGACTCTTAGAGTAATATTTTTGAATATATATATTTTTTTTACTTTTTAGAACATATTTAGTTCTGAATTTGTTATCTCTAAAACTCGCTATGTCGAAATTTTTCAGCGTTCCTAGAACTATTGATTAAATTTTTATTATACGTATTAATAAAAAAATTTATTATACGTATTTTTATTATACGTATTAATAAAAAAAATTATTATACGTATTTTTCTTATACGTATTAATAAAAAAAATTATTATGCGTATTTTTATTATACGTATTACTTAAATTTTTATTATGCGTATTAATAACAAAAAAATTTTATTATACGCACGCAATAAAATTAAAATATTCTTCAATTTTTTTAGAAAAGTGTAATGTTATTGAGGTACCTTTTAAAAGTTTTTTTCTCCCAAGACTTTCTGCCATGGGAAAAATAGTTACCCAATTGATTGTAAGGTTGTGCCATTCAAAAAAAGGCCCGTAATCCAAATCAAAAACAAGGGTCCAGAACTCCAAAGCGTCTGTTAAATAGTTAGTTTCTCTCAAAGAGACTTTCACCGGTGAATGTGAACAATCACATAGTCGCTTTAGTGAATGTCCGAAATATTTGTTATATTAGATTTGATATTAATTTATTCGTTGATATTATTATATTTATTCGATATTTTAATATCTGCTGAGGATAGATTAGGTGAAACATCAGTGTTCGGGAGTACCGGTTAAATGTATACCGAGCAGTGGCACTTGACCTTAAAAAGATACATTGATGTAGGGCGTGCCGGGCAAATGTGTACCGGGCAGTGGCACTTAATTAAACCTAGTATATATTTAGGACATTTACCAAAGGGAGTATGTGATTGCCAGCATTCACCGGTGGCAGTCAGCAACCACCAATTTAACACACACACTCACATATACATATGTTAATAATACATATGTATATTTAATATAATATATACATAATATTGAATCAGTGGTGAAGTGGACCGGGATAGCCTGGTCGGTAGGGCGCTTGGCCCATGTCCGAGAGTTTGTGGGTTCGAACCCCGCCGGCGGAAGTAGTGAATGGTGACTGATGCACGATAAATCTGTCGAGTCGCAATTGCCTCCATGTTCCCATAACAAATCAATACGTCTGGAGATACTGGATTGGTGATCGATCGTTCTCTGATTCAGGTCAAAATTACGATCTGTGCATGAATGAATGGATGTATGAATGGGTCCGTCCTATAAAACGGGCTGTGACGTGTGTGTGTCTGAAGACGAATTCTTGGCCATAGATGGCGCCACTGAAAAACAAGAAACGCACCCTCTGCCTTAAATTGGCTCGGTTTCACCAGGCAGGCTTGCTAGTGTGGGAAGTCGCATTAGAAACAACAAGAACAGTGGTGGAGCTACTTTTCACATATTGAAAAAATTTAATCACAAAAAATGAGCTTTTTTTAAAAAAAAAAACAAAAGAAGGGGTAGAGTGGCTCTAGAGATGGGACAAAAATAGTTAGGAATGTTAGAAAAACATTTATGTTTGATGGGAGATGATCATTTTTAGTTTGCCATGGAAAAGAACTACCTTCACATATGGCCCAGGCACACTTTCATGATGATTGCTCTGCCCAATCAAGACAAGACCTACACTGTCACGCTCTTCATGCCATTTGAAATATTCGAATCCATCAAGACGCCTGACAACCTCATCCAATTCTTTAAAACAAATTTCTCAGATGCCATACCTCTCATCGGAAGGTAAGTTTTATTTTTAATAATCTTTTTTGTTTCATTAACAGTCAATTGATTTCATTATTCTTTTCATCTTTCTTTTTTTACACTGATTTGTAGATAAAAATTATACTTAGAAGTTTTGTGTCGTTTTGAAAAGTTGAAATTTTATCCATCATGTAAATTCCGTAGTGGACTGATCGTTAAGACACGGTTCTCAGCAGATCACCGAAGTCAAGTATCACTGGCTGTGGTCAGTGTGCGGGTGGGTGACCACTTGGATCAGTCTGCGTAGGGATCGGGGGTGTGCGGTATGGGTCCTCGTGAAACTGTTCTACCGTAAAGTGCTCGACTTCGTCGGGCTACCGAAGCAGGGGAGCCATCCCCTCTGCAGAGGATCAAAATTGTGATGGCGTGTCTTCGGATCATCCTCAGGGATGTTTCCTAGACCGTCGAAAATAGCCCATTGTGCAGCTCTAGTGCGACGTAAATGAACTACAGCAACAAAAACAAAATCCATTATGTAAATTCAACTTGAAATTCGACGAATTATGTAAAATATTAAATGTTACAAACAAAATTTGCTGACCTGGTGGCCGAGTGGTTAGCGTGCCTGACTGAGGAGCCACTGGTCGCGGGTTCGAATCCTGCTCAGGGCATGGATGTTTCTTTCTCTCTGTGAATGTGATCCGCCCTATAAACGGGTTTGTGGTTGTGTGACGTGGGCGGCGCTGCTCCACAGCCGTGGCTTCTCCACTTCTGCCCACTGGGTAACGAGAAGAGAGTAGCAGTTCTGGCATTTCTGTGGCCAATGGGACAACCCCCAAGTGTCCGCCATTAAAAAATAATAATAATATGATTATAATATTAATATTAGTTCAAACTAAAGGTGGCACTCATAGTAATTTCATTGCTTTAAACCTCCCCCCTGCACAGTATTAAAAAGAAAATTAAACAAAAATAAAACTGTTCTGCCCTCTATTCTTTACAAGTTATCACAGAATTTTCCCTTCTAACATGAGTATAAGGTAAAACTGATGGAAGATACTTTTGTACGGGTGTGAGTACAAATTAAAAGTTTTTGTATAAGATATACTTTCAATATTGCATGATATTCTGCGCCGATATCATTTACCAGCGAGGAAAATCAACGATGTGATTTTGACGCGCAACGGATTTCATTTCCCTTTTGTTTCTGATTCAATTTATCCTAATTATATAATCTGCCAGCATTAAAAAAGCTCTCAGTAAATACTTTTGTTGTAAATTATATTTTCAGGGAGAAATTGATTGAGGATTTTTTCAAAACACCTCCATCTGCATTAGTTTCGATAAAGGTAAATCCACTTCTTCTGACAAATGATATTTTATTGAAATTTTATATACAATTTATTTAATGACATTTCTTGGAATACGTAGGTTTTCTTTAACAAATAAATAAACACCTTTTAGACACTGAAAAAAGCACCAGAAAAGACAGATCATGGGTTGGAGTCCCCTTGCTGTCAGTCTAACAGTGGGAGGTTCTCGTCGTCTTCCTCTCCATGTCACGCAAATGCGCGTTACTTCCATCGAAAAGTTCTCCACGAAGACAAATTTCTCCCAATACTCGATCCAGGAGTTCCCTTGTCTTCTGGATTGGGTTCAAAATTTCAAGACTACGGAATTAAACATTAGTAGTCGTAAACCCAGAAAATTGTGTCGGCTGTTCAACGACGGTAATAATAATAAAAAAACAGCTGCAGAAGTTGTTAAACAGCAGCGTGACATTCACCCACAGTTGCCACTGTTTGAAATAGCGTCACTCTCAACGATTGGACAGCAGTTGAATAGAATCAGTTCGTCTTAATGAATCCTGATTTAATTTGGGAAATGGTGATCATCCTGTACGAGTGTGGAGGGTTCGGGGTGAACTCCTCAACTCTGCCTATGGTGTGATGATTTAGAGTGCCATCGCATACGACGCATGATCATCCCTAATATTGATCCACGATGCCACGAGAGCTCAGTGGTTCATACGTGACATACTTCAGTCACGTGTGTTACCACTTATGGAAGGACTCTCGGGAACTATTTTTCAAATGCACAGCAAGTGCGTCACAGGAAAGCCTCAGTCACATTACCACACTTCCCTGGTCAACTCTTTTCCAAGCTCGATCGACGAACATGCATATCTGAGACCACTAAAGTCGGCAATTTCGAGTTTATTTGATTTAGCAGTGTTTTTTTGCAGCAACAATAGCTGTGAAAAGAGATGCCACCGCACATCATAAGGGACTGGTATGCTTATATGCCCGATTGTATCGCCTCCTGCATTCGCGCTAGACATGGCCCAAGCGGGGTACATCCATTCATTTGAATTTTTTCCTTCAATAAATGATCATTTTGCTTTGATTTTTTTTAATCACTTATTTATATCAACGCTGCTCTTGCATTTGTAAAGTTTCGTCTCATTCTGACAATTTTTTCTAGAAGCGCTAATTCTTATGGCAATGAATATGCACCAGTTTTTTAAAATGTAGTTCATAACATGTGCTGGATTTTTTTTCCTTCAAAAAAGCCAGTAATATATTTTTCAGATAGAGACAATGACTCTGTAAGATATTCAGTTTTATTTTTAGTGCATTTTATTGGATATTATTTGCTATACCTAATTAATGAGTCGCTCTGGTTCTAGGATAGGACACTTAAGTCACAATCAGGAGATCAAGGCTCAAAGTTGGCTGGTTGATATGAATTCTACCCTCGGTTCGCACTGACTGCAGTTCTGATATAAGATATCCTCACTGATAGACGGATTATGGGTTAGAACCCTATCACCATCGAGTGAATTATGGGAGGCCTTGGTGGGTTTTCTTTTCATGTAAAACAAATGCTGATAAATTCCATCAAAAAGTCCTCCAAGAAGCCTAGTTTGCCCCAGTGGTTGATCCAGGAGTTTATTTGTCTTCTAGATTTGGTTCAAAATCACAAGGTTACGGAATTGAACAGTGATAATGGTAAACTCAGAATAGGGTTACCTGTTCGATACTGGTTATAAAGTAAATTAAATAAAATACCTAGTGAATGCTGTAAAAAAGGCAATAAAAAACATAAATTTTACGGACAGTAAAAAAATATGTTGAAAAGCAGGTGTATAACTCAATATGTTAGAAATATACAATTCAGTTAACTGATGAGTTCTATTATCTTCCTCCAAAAAGTGATAGAATTATTACTGGAAGCAATGAAATATCTCAAATGAACTCACGTGTGTAAACATTATTTTATAGTGCAATCCTTATCACGTTGAGGACAGAGCTCTGATTTTAGGTGATGCTGCTCACGCTATGGTGCCATTTTATGGTCAAGGAATGAATGCGGTAAGTTTCATTTATCTAAATCACATCGCCTTAACAAGAAAATCATGACCTGTTTTTCTCCTTGAAATACATTCCCTTACAAAGTAAATGACCCCCAGTGTTTGTGCATGACCTAAGAAATGCCACTGTTAATAAACGATGGCAGCAAAAGTCAAAATTTTCGATGGTTTTCCATTGAGGGACCAACATAATCTTGATGGTAACCATCAATAATTCCATCATGAACCATTATATTTTTTGATGGTAACCAACATAAGTAACCATCACCCCAATGTAGGAATTCGGACTGATTTACGATGGTCCAATGTAAGAATATCAACTTGTTTTGATGGTTTGATCATGTTGAACCATCACGAATTTCCATCATAGTATCTCAGAAATCAAATGTTGGAACGATCATGAACCACCATCATCTCAATGTAGGAATTCCGTCTGATTTATGATGGTTAAGCATAAAAAAAACCTCAATTATTTTGATGGTACACTGATAACCAACATGAATTCCCATTAAACCATCGTGGAAATGTATAGTTGGAATCACCACGGATCATCATGAATTGTTGGTTCATAAGAATCAAATTATCTTGATAGTTAGCGATCATGGTATTAAAGAAACATTTTCCATCGTGGAATGACGGAAGTTTGTAGGCATACATCAAACACCATGTGCGTAGAACGGAAAATGGTGGATGATTGTGACCATCAAATGATGTCGGACCATCATGAATCGCGCTGAAACCCAACAAAATTTTGTGATGGGACCATCGAGAATTTTGACTTGGGTGGGGATCTCAGTCTGGAATGAGAGAAATGACCTGCCACAAACTTGAGAATAAAAACTAAACCAAACGAAAACACCCAACTTAACGTATAACATTTAGACCTCTTGTTCTGGCTGCGTTTTTCAACTGCATTGGGCTGCCTGTCATACCTACGTCCACACTCTGTTGTAAGTTGAGAAAAAACCAGAAATGCACGCCAAAATGGATGCCAATGTCTCAACGCGAGCGTATATTACATAGCCAAACTCTTAAAACGACGTTCTGCCTGCTTTCTTATGAATAATAATAACAACAGTTATTAACAACAGTAATCAATTAATACGTAATAACAATTAATTGAAATGATATCTAAAAAATACACTGTAAAAAGACTCGGTAAAACTTTAACCAGTGGTGCAAAGTTTCTTTTTATCCCAAAGTTTGGTTAAATGAAGGATTATTTTATTTTAGTTACACCATAAATTGTGAAACATGATCGAAAAACACTTCCATGGAGCAACTGACTGCTTCAAAATTTGGTAAAAGACACAAAACTTTGACGGCGACTGTAAACTGAACGATATTTCTTTACGACGCCATGTTTTCTTTACAACTCGGTCTCGGTGTATCGAGACGACTAATGCATGTTGTATAGTATTCACTTATATAGGTTGGTAAATGTTTTATTCGCATTAAATTTAATTTTTTTTATGTTGCCTTTTTGATTTGGTCGGCGGTGTACAATGGTTAGAGGCATGTCATTAAATAACCTACTTGCGGTTAATTGCAAATTTGGCCAGCATTTGGGTTCTTTAAAAATACTAAATTAAGGTGCAACCTTTCTCTGGTTTCATAAAAGAAAAAAAAGAAGAAAGAATGAAAATAAGGTATTTTGTTCTACTGATATTTGAAGCTAGTGTAAATACCAAAATATGGTGAAATTGAGCTCGATTTTATGTATTCAGCAAATGAATACCAATTTTTGGTGGAACGAAGTTCGGAATTTTTAACAGTGAATATGTCTTTTTGTTCGCATTTAGAAAGCATATTTGTATAATTTGATAACGAAATAAAAGAACTTTATACTGTCGAGGATGAATCTACTTTAAATCCTATTCCGCAATGGTCTTTTCTTAACTTGCAGCGGAGTAAAGCGACTAAATAAAACTGTGCTAAATTGCACAATAATTTCCCAGGTTTGTTAATTGGGAAAACCGATCGGGGGTTTATTTGATCCCTTCCATTTGATTCCTCCTAAAAGGAATGCTTGATACAGGAATTCCCTTGTCTTCTAGATTGGATTCAAAATTACAAGGTTGAACATTGATATTCTCAAATTTAGAATCTGTTCAACGTCGGTTATAAAATAAAATAAACTAGAAGGCTCCGCCCCCTGCTCGCTAACGCTCGCCAACCCTCGAGAATTGCTACGTAATCCTATGTGGTTCACGCCGTGAACCATGGCTCGCTGCGCTCGCTCGCCAATGAACACAATGTTCTAGCACAAAGACATAATATNTTTTTTTAGTGTTAAACCCAACTAAAAAAAAATGTTTGGAAATAATCTTAAAAATAAGAAAAAACGATGAGGTAATACACTAATAATTATTCCTGAAATGATGGTAAGGTAAACATCTTTCAAAAAAGAAAGAAAAATCCTAAAATCTTATGAGGAAATTTTTTTTTTTTTAAATTGCAGGAAAATTTATCGAATTTCGTTCCGGTTTTTTGGTTTTCTGAATTCCGGATAACGGGTTCTGTACTGTATTTAAATTCTGACATTGGCAAAAAAAATAGGGATGATGTTTACAGGCATTTTTCTCGATTATCACTACCATTAATCAATAATTTTAGTGTGCATTGAATAAATATGGTAATTCAAAAGCTTTTTTGAAAATTCTTTTCATTTATTTCTGAAAATTAGGGATTTGAAGATTGCGAAATACTGGCTGAACTGCTGGAAGCTTATAGCTATGAACCCAGTAAGAAATTATTATTATATTTTTTTAATTATGTAAACAAATTTCTTAGCTTGAGTTTAAATTTTTTTTATTCTTGCAGAAAATGTCCTTCCTTTGTTTTCGGAAAGACGACATCAAGACGCAGAATCAATATGTGATTTAGCTATGTACAACTATGTGGAGGTAATTACGTTGTATAGTCAGGGTTTTTAAATTTTCTTTTTTTTGAGGGGGGGGGAGAAATCATGTTTGTAAAACATTCTTAATAAAAATCATTCCGTTCTGGCAATCAGTAAATTTTATGCTTAATATCAAAAATATTTCAAAATAAGTTTATGAAGTAATTTTATTAACTCCTTTTTTTTAGTATTTTTTTACAATTCCCTGTTAAAAAATTTTATACTTATATTTTATTCTTTGCATGATCATATTGTTAAATAATGATTTGCAGACAATTAGCTGTCTACTGGATAACATACAGGGTAGAAGTAATTTTATCAAAACTCTTTTTTTTAATATTTTTTTTCCAATGCCTTGTTAAAAAATGGTATACTTATATTTTATTCCTTGCACGGTCATATTGTTATAAAACACTTTTTACCTTGTTAACAATATAACAACTTCAAAATTTAAACCTGAATGATAATTAGTAAAACGAACCTAATCTCGTTGCTCAAACAATATGCTAACACTAACGTATGATCGTGCACGCGGCTTGCAACAAGAACAAACAGAAATGAGGCTAAATCAGGACTGCTAAAAAAAAAAAAAAATTCTTTCTTAATCTAGCAATTATGTCACCTTTTTTAACAATACATCTATAAATAACTAAAACAAATTTTCACTTCAAACTCATTAGAATTCATATCTAGTATCGTATGGAATACGACAGATTTGAGTTCAGAAATCATATAAATTGTTTTGTTAATTAAAAATAGAATTATCTGTTTAAAAATATCGCCTCGCAGCATAAGCTGTAGTAAACAGCTGTATACTTCCTAACCGGAAGTAGAGCAGTTCAAGAGTTCGAGATTGTTGTTGTTTACATTTATATTGAAAACACCATCCATAGGTAAATATTTTGTAAAGAAACTGAAAATTTAGGACAAAGATTGAGAGGTAGGACTTTGCCTCGAATCTTGTTTCGAAGTTTATTACACCAAACTTCCTTTTTTATAAATGTTTCGTTTCACATATTTTTATTAGTATATATCTTCGAATTTCATTAAACGAATTAACATATAATGTGTCCTAGATTAATTTTCAAAATTTTTCTTTGTATGAAAAAACTGAAAAAAATTTAAATATTGAAAGAAAAAAAATTCTCTTACTAAAGTTTTTTTAAAAATATTTTTACTCTAATTGTCTGTGTAGACTGTCCATACGACACGGCTCCCAGCAGATCACCGAAGTCAGCATCACTGGCTGCGATCAATGTGCGGGTGGGTGACCACTTGGATCAGTCTGCGTAGGGACCGAGGGTGTGCGGTATACGCTCGTTAAACTGTACTACCGTAAAGTGCTCGACTTCGCGTGCAGGTCGTTGGGCTTCCGAAACGGGGGTGAAATCCACTCTGCAGAGGATCAAAATTGTGATGGCATGTCTTCGGATCATCCTCAGGGATATTTCCCAGACCGTCGCCAATAACCCATTGTGTAGCTCTAGTGCGACGTAAATTAACTACAACTGACACAGCGTATATAAAAGAACTAAATATTTAAATATGCTCAATAAATTATTTTTTTGTTCAAATAGAGGTATAAGTTGGAAATTATCACTGAATTTTACTTTAAAGTACATAAGTTCCTATCTTGATTGTCAAATAGATTAAAAACTTCTTAGATAGGAAACTGTGTGGAACTGAAAACTACATTAAACGTAGCTCTAAAAGAAAGCGTCGTGGAAATTATTAAAAAAAATTTTGACAAGTAAATATGAAAATATTAAGAAAGGAGAAAATATCATATAGTTACATCGTATTCGTTTCCTGTACAACTAGGAGGAAAAAAGGGAAAATTCAAAACATTGAACCGGTCTTCTCCCTAGATGGCTTACTCAACCGCTGCGATCGCGAATATGTATCAAGATGTGCTAAACATAACTAAGAAGGAAAAAAAATTGGTAAAAAGAGGAATATCAATCATTAATATAAAAGGCAATATGTCTCTGTTCACTTGTTCTGCACTTTTAAACAGAGAAAAATTTTAAAATGATATAAATTTTTAAAAAATATTATAAAAACTTTTAATACTTTCAGATGAGACACTTGGTGACTTCGAAAAAATTTTTACTAAGGAAGAAATTGGATAATGCATTGAACAAACTTTTTCCAAAATCTTGGATTCCTTTGTACACAATGGTAAGTTAGTCTCTTAACGCTAGAAAGACATTGGGACTCAATAAATTCAGAGATTTTGTCACGCCTGTCTTTTAGAAATGAAGTGGGGGGGAGGTGNGGGGGGGGGGGGATGAGGTCATTTTGCAAATGAATTTAAGGTATGCTTTGAGAAGATCAACATTTTGTTGTTGTCGTAAGCCATTAAGACAAGAGGTGCGATTGTTGTTATTTTCCAGTGGCGCCATCTATGGTCACGAATTCTACTTCTGCACACACCCGTTCATAGGACGAACACATCCACAGATCGTAATTTTGACCTAAACCAGAGAACGATTAATCTTCCATTCAGTACAATCAAAGGTATAATTTGTTATGGCAACATGGTGGACTTTGTGACCCGACAGATTTAACGTGCACCAGTTACTACAATGTAGATCTTAGGCAGGCTGGATTGGAACTCCCGTTCTCACGATCGTGAGTTCAGTGCCCTGCCACTACTATCCCGATCAGCTAAACATTTTGAACTAAACATTGGAAACAACGAGATGAAACCCAAAGCACAGTTGAAGAGCCAATGAATTTCTGTCTTAATTGCGCAATTTTGAGAACAGTAAATACACTTTTGTCTTTTTAATTAGGTGAGATGAAAGCTATTTAAAGAAATAGCTCGAAAACTGAACTTACCAAAAAGGTTTTTAAGGACTGGCTATTTTCGTTCATTTTGTGTAATCTGTATTACTTGAATGTGGTGAGAGAAATAAGGTAAAAAGCTTCACCTACCTCTTTTTCCTACAAAAAATAGTTGACAAAATAAGTATCTGTTTGATTGAACTGTTTAATTTATTAATATGACAGTGTTCATATTGCACTTAAAAAATTTTATGAAGCAGAGTAAATTACAACAGCTTGGTGTGTTTCGGGAAGCTCTATGGTGTTGGGTCGCGTTAAAAAAATTATTTGGGTTGAACCATCAGTTTGAGTCAGTCATTAAGCATAAATTAATGTAAGTTGTAATGAAATTTAGTCATTTTATTGGTTGTTCATTTCTGTATCATCAAACATTTAATGCCCATAGGATGGGCATTAAATGCGTCATTTCCAACATGGGTAGAAAAAAAACGAAATAAATTTTATAACAATATATTATATATAAGGAATTTTTACTGTCATCAAAATACAAAAACTTAAATCACTCTAATAAAAATAAACGGTCTGCTATATTGTAGGTATCAGCAATAATTAAGCAATAAATTTGATTTCAATAGGGATGTTTTTTTTTTCCTCATAAAAATAATTTTAGGTAATTTTCTAAAATGTACAAAAACCAGGAGAATTTTCATTAAACCAGTAGAGTTGGCAATAATGAATGCCTATTTGTTTTATATCAAAGCCAATCTATTTCTCCTCGAGAAATGGAGGCGCCCATCCATAATAAAATACTGTTTTATCCGGATTTTTTCTCTCTTTTCATTATAGGTTACATTTTCAAAGCTGCGCTATTCTCACTGCATTTATAGAAAACACATGCAAGACAAGGTGAGAATCTTTATATAAAAAAAAAAATAATGTCACTAACTTATTTCATTATTTTTCTTCAATTATAATAATTTTTTTCTCTCTCTCTCCCTCTTAGATACTGGCGACATTTTTGTGGGCCACAGGAATACTTTTATTCTCGATTTTAATTGGTATGTTCACAAGAATAACACTTTGATCAGCTAAGAATAGCCTTATTCCAAAAGAGAGCTTCTTTTTTTAATGAAATTATAAATAACATTTATAATACATATTTTGTACAAAAGCTAATGTTTAATAAAATTGTTGTATTTGCTTATTTAAATAAGTAAATAGGGAAATTCCGAGGAGAAGTCCAAAAATGCATTCGCCATTAGCGTGTGGAGAGTCATAGAGTAAGGAAGTACGTTAGTTTCTGTCTTGATTTTCAACTAGGTTAAAATCTCTTGATTTTTAAAATTATATGGAACTAAAAACAACATTACACTTAGTTCTAAAGGAAAGTATCATGGAAATTTTAAAAAATATTTTTATTACATAAAAAGGAAAAATATTAAGAAAGGGGAAAATATTGTAGTACATTCCTATACAACTGGAAAGAGGACAGGGAATGGCCAAAGGCATGAAACGGGTCTCACCCTAGATGGCGTATTCGAGCATTGCGATCGCCAATTAATCATACCGCTTTATAAGTTTCAAAAAACCCCTCAGGCTCTTCATACTAAAGCAGCATGGAACTGCTTGTGTGACTTCAGCACAGAATACAAAGCACTTTTCACCAAAATTCTTGTTCAAAACTAAATCAAAGCAGGTGCAACTCATTCAGGGTGTGAAGTCAAATCTTTCAACAAAAATAAGCACCTGTTAAGCACTCAAAAAATATTTTTAAGCACTATATACATTAACAAAACGCTATTATAATTTTCAAAGGCTTTACACGATAAAACATGTCTTTGACAAAAGAATTTTTTGTTGTTGTATTAGCCATTACAAAATGATCAAGAGATCACAAGTACTTCAGATCGTAAGGACTCGCAAGCATTTCATCAAACATGTAAAATGATTGGAGCTTTCATGCACTTCGAACGAACCGACGGTACGCTCAAATAGATTGTGGTTGAATGAATTGTGAGAACATTGAATAGAACAAAGTGAAAACCACGCTTTTATATAATACGCAGCGAAAATCGACAAGGAAAAGAAAAAATATCTCATTTTCGAAAAGGGAAAGTTAAGCACTTCTTTAAAACACCCAATGACAAAAAGCATCATTAAGGGCTTTTAAAAAAACGAACATTGAAAATAAGAACCTTTAAGTACCTTTCCAAAACGCTACGCGCCATGTCATTGGCTGCGAGATCAGTACTGTGTGGTAGATGGTCTCAGCAAATAGTTGGAACATCCTTTTGCAACGATGTGAGTGAGGTCTCACATTGTCATCAGCAAAAAATGTGAGATGGCCAGACTATGACCATAATACATAGCATTAATGGTTCTAACCCCCCAAAAAGTCAAGCAACATAACTCCTTGGGATCAAATCTTAAATAACACAAGCCGTTCAGTGCTTTTTCAGCATGCAGAGCTCTGATATTTCTTCTGGGAGAATTTTAGAAGCTTATAAAATAGTGTAATAAATGTACTTGATAACCATGTGGACACGTCTTATCAATAATGGCTGGGAGAATTTAAGAAGTTTATAAAATAGTGTAATAAATGTACTTGATAACCACGTGGACACGTCTTATCAATAATGGCTTTTTATATTCTCTATCATAGACACTTCTGACCACAGTCACCAGCTTAGTCAGGAATCATGCAAAATGCTGATAATAGAGAGATTCCACACTTTTCCGCGTATGTAAGATTTGAATCAACTGCGCATGCTTGCGTTTATTTTAGATGATGGGTATCTTTACGTTGTGCTGGCGTGATTAACGCCACAAAGACAAAACTACAAGCACATTGTTTATAGCTATCTTCTGTTTAAGCCTACCTTCCGACTTAAAACATGGAATGCGAATTTGAAGAAATATATTGATGAAATTTAGAAATGAATGGTGAGGTATTACAACAATTTGTTGAATGAAGAGATCATCCATGTCCATTGTAAATGTTTGTTTTGATTTCGTAGTCAAAACTATATTCCACTACGTTAGCATTTTTAACATATGGTTTTTTGAGAGATCTCTTACTTTCACTTATGTAAGTTTGATATTTTTTTATGGGGGCACATGAGCATTTGCTTCAAATCTTACTTAACGGGAGTGCACAGAAGCTAAAGAAAATTTGCAAAATCTCCCTATTAACAAATATCTTGAAACATAGCTTGCACATTTCACAATTGATGGCGGCAGAGTTTTGAATTAAAAAAAGGGTTTCCAAAGTAATAGATGAAAAGAGACACACTGTAAAATAAACAATAAATGTTACAAGAAAGAACAACACAGAAACTGTAACTAAAATGTATAAAAATCAGAATTTTAATTAAACCATTAGACCAGGAGAAACAGTATTTCAAAATGCAGTAGAGTTGGCAGCTATACAATCACATTTTATCGTGCAAATGTTTACTACAGTATAATTGCTACGTAAGAAAAAAAAATACAGGATGGTTACATTTCTCTTGCCTGAATGAAGACTATTATGTTCAAGGTTGCTGCAAGTTTTGCCTGCCTTAAAAAACTCAAATGAAATATTTAAATTTGTAGCTACGAACTGCATTAGAATGCAACTAACAAAAGCATTAAGATTTCAAAACATATCTGAGAAAATTTGTTGATTTGCAGTCATCTTAAGCTGTTATTTTTCACAGCTCTTTAATCAATTTCTTATTATTTTGGTTAAAATTAACTTCATTTGTGCAATTTAGCAGGATAGCAGTTATACATAGTTTAAAGCTAACCATTACTAAGATTGATAGCAATTCAAAAAGATGTATTTAAATGAAGTGTTTGATAATTATAATTAAGATAAGCTCAATTTGAAATTTATACATTTGTGATTCTTGTTGTGAATTATTTTAAGTTATTTAATGCAGCAATACTTGCTAAAAAAGTCTTTGAAACTTAAATTAATAAAAAGCTGGCATTGAGTAAATATGTTTGTCATATTTAAGTCTGCTTTTCAAACTAAAAAATTATCAAGAAATATTTGCACTTTTGTTTAATTTTATTCAGAAAAAAAAGTATTTTTTAATAAATTTTGAACAATGATAGTCAACACATTATAACAAATTTAGGCAAAAATGTTGTAAATAAATAGATTACTGCTTTTGACATTTATATAAACAATTGTACATTAACCATATGATGGTTGGTATATAAAGGGTGTGTAGCCAAATTTTGGAACAAAAAATAAACGACCCCTAAGCACTTTTCAAGCACTCAAAATATACTCAACTCTTTATTAAATACATATATATAAAGGGGATATTTCAGTGACCTAATATTTCGCGACAGCTACAATCGCCAAACAGATTTTAAACTTGCAATTAAAAAGAAAACATGTAGATGTCAGCCAGGGTGTGGTTACGAGTTATACCTTTCCGTGATGTTTTTTCCTTCAATTTCTCGCGGACTGCTGCACGGAGAGTACCAAGACTTGACAATTATTCTGCCACAGATCACGATACAGAAATTTCCCCAAATATAATTAGAATAAGCACACTAATAAAAAAAATTTTCTTCCTATCATTGAAATATATATATNAATATTATTCTTGTGGTTGAATGAATTGTGAAAACATTAAATAGAAGTGTGAAATCGCTTTTCGCATAATTCTGGGCTAAAACAGACATTTGTTCATTGGGTAAGAACTTTATATGGTACAGGTGATGAATAATTACAGATGTCACTAATTCAAAAAGTGAATACTGAGCATAATGATAGGAAAAGATCCACCAAATTGTCTCATGTTTTTTTTTAATACATAAATTTTTTTCAAATGAACTATCAAAAAATATTACAAAGTTCACTTTCAAAAGCTAGTACTATAAATAAACCAAAGAAAAATTAACTTATTTATTTGAATGAAGTAAAAACAAGAAAAGACATAGGGTCCTTTCAATATTATAATGAAGCACATTCTCTGGTTACAAAATACAAATTTTATGTGAAAGCACTGGAGAAGATGCTTTTGTACAGTTTAAATAGATGACTGTTATAGCTTCATTCATAAACTTTCTTTTTTAAGTAATCTGTTTAGCCAACTAATAAGATTATCATATGGAAAAAAAACTAGAATTAAAAATAAAATAATTATATGTATACATACATAAAGTAATTTTATAAACATCAAAAAGACTGAAGAATGGTATAAAATGAAATGATAGATATGAAAAGTATTCAATGCATACAAGATCTTCTATGAACATCAACACAAAGAGTCACTAGCCTAGAAAAGAAAATATATTTAATAACAAATAGAAAGGAAATTTTAAATTAAAAAAAAAAAAAAAAAAACTGTCTTTGATCATAATAAAATTGACAAACCGGAAGAAAAAAAGGTAAAAATGGAAGAAATTTTTTTTTTATCGGTTTGTCAACACTAATTATGAATACGTAACTAACATAGGGATATGTTCAGTACTAGATATTATGCTCGGAAAAAAAAAAATTACGGGAAAACAACATGTGCCGATTCAGAGCATGTGCATTTGAGGGCAAATTAATTACCCAGACTAGTTTTCAAACTGGTTAACTAAACCCGTGTCTCAAAATATGCAAAGTATTATAATCAAAGTGGCATGGTTGTCATAAATTATTTTTTTGTCTTACATTTACCAAACAGCATATCGGATAAAATATATTAATAAAATTAATATTTAAAAACTATGTTATAGTTATAATTGTAAATATTTCTAATCAAAAGGGTTAAAATTATTAGAGTTGTAAGAAATACTGATTTAGCCGAATACCAAATATTCGACAGCTGAAATGCAACAAAAAAATAATTATATATATTAATGATTTTTTCATGTATATATAAATAATTTTATATATACATGAGTTTTGTTATTATTTAAAAATACTAAAAACTAAGCAATATTATTGGTAGGAGGTAAAAGAAGAAAAACTATTTAAGATAAGTAAAAAAATGACTAATATTTAAGATAAATAAATAAAAAAAACTAAGGTGGTAAAGTTGAAGAAAAGAAAATTTTTTCTTAATTCTGAAAACAAAATTTTAATGTTAAAAATTAGCCATAAGACGTTAAAAAGAGAAAAGTCTATCAGAAATGCTTTTAAAAATGCAGCACTATCATAAAGAAAGATGACACAAAGGTAAAACAGAAAATTTATCTTAATTTTTGAGAGAAGATTTCAAACCTTAACATTTCAGCTTTCCAACTACCTAATAAAACAAAACAAAAGAATGACCTTGCCATTCTTTTGTTTTTTCAGTGACGAATAATGTCTAATAATTAAAACCCCTTTTAACTGCACATCATAATAAAAACATTTATAAAAACAAATGTTTATGAAAAAGAAAAAGCTGGTTTGAAAAAACAAAACAAAAATTATTCTTAATTTTTAAACATTAAAGTTTAAACGTTAAAAATTTCAATTTAACTTTTCCAGATAGAAACGCTCTTCTTTAGAAATCCTGTCATATAAAAAACGCTAATAAAAAGAAAAGTTAATAAAAAAGCAAAAGATTTTTTTTTTTTTAATCCAGGGTGCATGGTCAAAGCTTTTAACAAAAATAAGCTCCTTTTAAGTACTTTTTAAGCACTCAAAAATATTGTTAAGCACTATATACATTAACAAAATGCAAAATTATTATTTAATTCGGGTCGCATCGGGGTTAGCGAAAAATTCTGAAATCAAGATTTTTTCTGGAGCACAATCATCTCTACATTGTACTTTATTTCTTGGAGGATATAAAAAGCATTGCTCACTTAAAAGTACCTAAGAATAAAAGCTATTTCATGCAAACATAAATTAAAACTTCTTAATATCTCCTCATATTTAACCAAGCCAACTTTTTAACCAAAATCATTTTGAATATTGGTGAAAATTAAGTTCTCCAGTTATGTTTGTCCTCTAAAAGTAGCAAAGTATTGACTACATTTCGAAAGTAGTTGTAGTTAACTACAAAGAAACCAAAGTGTTTTTGGGCTGCAGCTTAGGGCCTCGAGAACTGTCGGTGGTGTTACAAGCCAATATATACATTAAAGAACCCGTTATCCGGAAATCAGAAAACCGGAAAACCAAAAAACCGGAAAGAAATTCGATAAATTTTCCTGCCATTTTAAAAAAAAAAAATTTTTTTTTTCCTCTTAAGATTTTTCTTTCTTTTTTGAAACATGTTTACCTTACCATAATTTTATAAATAATCATTAGTCTATTACTTCATCGTTTTTTCTTCTTTTTAAGATTATTTCCAAATACTTTTTTTTCCAGCTGGGTTTAACAATAAAAAAAAAAACGGCTCTTTGTAGCGATTCAGAAAACCGGAAAAATCAGTTATCCGGAATATCGATGGTCCCGATCGTTCCGGATAAACGGTTCCCTACTGTATTTACAAAAGACACTAGCTCTTGTTGTTTAGCCCGAATTTTAGTATTCAATTTCTCACTGGTGTTATTTGTTGGTCACATTTCTCTGCAATCTTAAAAAGCATTTATTTGTGATTTGTAACTGTAACAAACTTTTGCAATCGTTCAATATTCCTTAACCGCTTCCCTTAGCAATTTTTTTGAAAAAGAAAAATGCAAAAAATCATCATATTTTTTTATTTCATTAATAAATACAAGGAACTAAAACAAAACATAATACACAAGTTCAAGTTGAAGTTTTAATTTTTTTATGTGCAAAAAAATATTTAATTTACCATTAGTTTACTATCCCTAACTATCTCGGGCAAATCAAAAAAGCTAAATATTAGTCTTTGTATATGCTCACATCTTCATAATCTGAAAAAATCATCTGCATTACTTTCACTTTCGCTGGGGAATGCCATTTTTTAAATTCTTTCTTCTATGTAAATTCATCAACCATCATATATACAATTGTACAAAACACGTCTGCAGTCCCGCAAATGGCAAAACTCAGAAACAAAAATTGCAAACTTCCAATCACAGCAGATTATTCTTATTTTTGTTTTGCTTCCGGCCTAATAAAAATGTGATAAAACAAAGCCTATTGACGGGATAATAAATATTTGCAATGTATACATACCCGAGTTGAGGATAATCAGGGAAGCAGTTAAGGGGGGGGGGAGAAAGAAAAAAGCTATACAAACCATTTTTCCAACAATATTACTCAATACAAAGTTCATAGTCTTCAATTTCAGAAAGTTGCTGATTGAAACTCCTATAAAATGCTTCTTCTTCTTGTTTCTGAAATGGCATTAAAAAATTGCTTAAGCAGAGTGAAATAAAAACTGTGTGATTGCAACCATACAGGATATCTGCCACATTTTAGATTTTCAAATTCATGACTTAACGAAGTTACTATTTTTTCCGACAAGAACACAACAATAAATTAAAAAAAGCATTATAATAACATTAATTGAAATGATAGGTATAACCAAAACTGTTATACTCCGCATCTTCATATTTATAGATTTTAAATTTAAAAAACAGAGTAAAGAAAGAGGTGAAGAAATAAAATAGCTGGAAAAAAAATACAAAAGCATATAATTTTTTTCTTCTTTTTTTCGGCAGAATTATATTCTAAGGATACTTCTCTTGTTCAGCGGAAAGGAAAGAAATACTCCTGCTTTTTCTGATCTCATTTTGGAATTAAAAACAAAAATCGCCAATGACAGGATAGCTTCGGCTAGAATTTTTTAATTGATAAAATAAAAGAATAACAAAAAAACTCTGAAATCACGGAAGTTTAAAAGATAATTCGCTCTAGAAATGATGTTTTTTCTTTCATTTTTGAAAAAACACCATAATTTTTCAAGATTGTGATAAAAACGTTTTATACTTTAATAAAATATGACTGGGAGTGGAGATTTTGTTACAAATTCAGATATTCTGAACACCATGAAATTGGGGGAAGGGTAAATTCCATTTTAAAAATTAGACTTTTCGGTGACCTAAATCCATGACAAATTTTGTTCAATACCGAAATTCATGACTTTCCGTGATTTCTCATGACTTTCCAGGTGCACAGATACCCTGACCATCGGATCCTAACAAAGACATTTTTCTCCTAGTGAAGGGCATTGACTTTTAGAAAGATCACCAGAAAATAGGAATGTAGCAAATATTCAGCCTTTAGAATTCAAACTAACAAATGCACATAATGGCATTTAATATTTTTTAACAAGGAACGTTTGTAAAACGACACATTTCCTAAAAATAAAAAAAATTTTAGTAATTTTTTTAAACCGAAAATTTTTGTTTGTCTGCCAGAAATTCCCTCACAACCTCTCTCTCATAATTAGACATATTCTGCTAATAAGTAATAATAACAAACATTAGGAGTAAAAAAAAAAGTTTTTTTTTATAAGTGATTTGACAATTATTATAAGTAATAATAACAAACATTAAGAGTAAAAAAAAATTTTTTTTTTCTTCTTATAAGTGATTTGACAATTATTGGCGACCACTTTAGATTTACTTAAGCTAAAAAATCTGTCTAAATTGTGGCATAAAATAATCAATATTTAGATTGATAATAATTAACAACTCACAGATATAATATACTAAGAGTACCATGTTTTTACAAAAAGTAATTAATAATATAATGATTTTGCAATACTTTTTTTTATAAATGATATATTAATATAAATTATTAGCAGTATATAATGCAAAGTATTATGCATGTTTTAATGTCTAATAATATGTCCCGAATGTTAATAAAGGAACTTGTCCCAGGTTTTNAATTGCTTCTAAAATGGGAATAGAAAATATAAAAATTCATAAACTTTATGAAATTTGAAATCTCTGAATTTAATTCCTTTTCTGCTTGCTTTAGAAGATAAAAATGGTTACAGAAGTATTCAAGATACAAATTGTTCTGCAAGACTTCGTTTGTTCTGCGACGTACGTCACAGTTTCAGGCACTTTCTGCTTCTGGGCTCAGAAGTATTTTATCAAACAGGTAAAATGAATGGCGCTTTCATACTCTATGGAATGAGAGTACACCGAAAGAGATTGGTTGAATGAAATGCGAAAACGTTGAATCGAACAATGAGAAAATCATGCTTTTGCATAATACAGGGTGAGTTCTGAAAGTAATGCGCATGATTTTATTGTGACGCGACTATTGATCACAGCGCAGTCAGATTGGTCAAAAAATGGGGTGGGGGATTTGTCTTTCCAAACAAGCTTGGTCTCAAGTCGCTCCGAGCAGGAGTGATAGGACGTGTCTACGCGCAGTCTTTTTTTCGATCGAGTCACGGCGTGGTGGAGTGTTCCCTGGAACAGCGGTACGCGATAAAGTTTTGTGTGCGACTTGGGAAGAATGCAACGGAAACTCATCACATGCTTCAAGACGACTTTAAGGAGACATTTCGAGATCTCAGTGTGGAAGGTGGCACAAGGCCTCCAAGGAGGGTCGGGAGAAGGTTACCGACGAGTCTTGTTCTGGACATACAACAACAGCCCGACCCGATGAAAACGTCCAGCGTGTGCGTGAAGTTTCGAAGTTAGGCAGTCTTAACCGACTGTCTAACTCCGACGTCTTAACCGATTGCATTCAGGCAATCGCTTACACTGGGATGGTGACGGAGGATTTGCAAATGCGAAAGGTCAGTGTGAATCTTGTGCCAAAGGTGTTGACGGAGAAGCAAAAATAAGTTCAGGTTTTGCGCAGTGAAGAATTGCTGGAATTGATGAGTTGGTGCACCAGCCTCCCTATAGCTCTGACTTGGCACAATGTGACTTTTTTTTGTTCCCCCGACTGAAAAGAGAGCTAAAGGGAAAGCACTGGGAGCCGATGGAGAACATCCAAGCTCATGTTACAAGGTTCCTGAGAGGCATTCCTGTCGAGGAGTTCCAGGGTGCCTTCCAGGCGTGGCAGAATCGTCTCCGCAAGTGTACTGTTGCACAAGGAAACTATTTTGAAGAATTTTAACCATTTGTACCCATAGCATCAATAAATCCATTTTTCCCAGAAAATGTGCATTACTTTCAGAACGCACCCTGTACGTGGCGAAAATCGACATGGTAAAGAAAAAAAATCTCATTCTGGAAAAGGGAAAATTAAGCACTTTTTAAAAACACCAGATGAAAAAAGCACCTTTAAGGGCTTTTAAAAAACGAAAATAAGCACCTTTAAGGGCTTTTAAAAAATGAAAATAAGCACCTTTAAGCACTTTTTAAAAACGCTATGCACCCTGTTTAAAATATCAAAATGAAAATAAATTATTAGACAATAACTTAGGATTTCGGAATGAAAAAGTTCTCTTCCAATAATTTGTTTTCATTTTGATATTTTTTTTCTTTTTCTTCTTGATTGAAACTTCATTGCTCACTCTAAGTTTGCATGTACTCACTTTTTCTTTTTTTAAAATTAGTAATGAAGGTGAAAGAGAATTTGCGATGAAAAGTTTCTCCCCTGGTATGGTCACCCCTTAACAAATTCTCTAAGATTCTAATGAATTTAAAACAAAGTGAAGTTTAAAAATTACCTCAGCATTTGATTTTTTCTGTACAATAGGATCAGGTTTTTTCTTCTTATTTTTGTTTTTTCTCTCATCATCAGCGGCAAAGTGCAATACTTTCCCCTCATTTATTTTTTCTTCATCTTTTTGAGGTGATCCAAAAAGTACCAAAGAATAGTCATTAGATGCAGTCACATATTCAGGCTCATTTTCATCTGGTAACTGTTCAGGACAATCAACCATGTCAGCGGCAACTTCTGACAATAAAGGAGCTGTAGGAACTTCAGAGAGCCGCACATCAAAGCTGAATACAGGAGAAGTAAAAGTAGGGCATGGGCACTCAGCATTTTGTGGAGTAGAGGTGAGATGTATTAAGCCTGGAAGACGTTCAGAAGCACCAGAGTTTACACTGCCCTCATTTGGAATATTAAAATCTAACTCTCGCACAGGAGTAGTTTCCCTTAAAACTAATATACCGGAATCTTTATTTTTAACATTTACTTCCAAACAAAATTCTTCTACGAGTTTTGAGGAATCGACTTGTTCAGACTTTGGAAAACTCTTTATAGGGTTCACCTCCTGTATATTTAAATCATTGCATTTTTTAGATGTTAAAGAACTTATCACTTGACTCTGAATCTCAGTTTTGTTTTTAAAACTTTGAATTATATCCTTATCTTTAGCAGCTAATTTAGTCGATTTATTTAAGCATTTTTTCTTTTTTAAAATTTTTTCTTTTTTATCCTTAAGTTTCAGCTTTTTGACTTTTTTCAAATCTAGTTCTTCCTTCTTCAAATCATCGTCAACATTTATATCGTATACATCTACAACAGATTGTTTAATTTTTTCACCAAGTACCTTAGAGCCTTTTTTAAGGCATTTGTTATAAATCAAATTATTTACAACAGAATTTACCGTTTTACCCACAGATTTAAAATTAACATTTTCTTTGGTGGTCAAAACTTGACGTTTCTTAGCTTTACTTTTTTCTTTCTGCTGGCTTTTGGAGCGATTTTCAGCTTCATGAATAACTGTCTTATCCCTGCAGACATTAGATGGCTTGATTTTACCATTTTGCTTATTGCTTTTAGGTAACTGAACACTATCAACGGTTGTTACATTCTCTTTGTCAATACTTTGAATACAAATTGTTTTTGCAGAGTTGGAAAGAGATTCACACGAAGGTTTTTTACCTCTTTTACGTAAATTTATTTTGGATACCTCAGGGTGAGCAGAGTTTTGGAGCCCAGTATTCACTTTTAAAAGCTGCCTTCGAGTTTGATACATATTCTGTGGATTATCTACAAATTAAGAAAAGAAATTAGATAAAAAATCGAAAGAAAGATAAAGAATTAGATAAATGTATTTTATATGTATGAAGTACATATTTGCTGTATTTAATATCAGGGTATGATAAAACTTCAGGGTACATAGTCGCACGTAGTCGTTAACCCATAAAATTTGGTTTATGACTAGGTTATAAATACTTGCAGATATTTTATTTTAAGGTAATGTTAAAAATATGAAATTTATGCGCACTAGTTTGCAGAATGCTTATTGTCTGGAAACATGGAAATAGTTAAGTTTTCTGTTAAGTAGGAACTGAGCATGTAACTCTTCTGAAGATATCCTGGACAAATTTTGCACAATATAAATCTGTAGGATTTCTTTTTACTCATTATAAATCTAATGAATCGAATTTGCAACTGCATTGTACAGCCTGGAGTGCAAAAGCTTATAAAATAATTATTTATATCCTACATTACCTGCGAATTTTTTTCTTCAAATAACCAGGGTTTGGACGTCCTAAACTAGTTTTTGACAGTACACTTTGGTTTTACTGTCTTAAGCTGACTAAACCGTCCTAAACTGTCTTTAAGTGTCCAAAACCTTGAACTTTGGTAAAAGGTAAAAATTCTAAGTGTGTAACCATTGTAACCTACACATAATAATTACATATAACAATAAATATTTGATATTTTATATACAATTTACTTTAATTTATTAAAGGAAAATAATATAATATAATAGGAAAAGGTTTTTGAAGCTCCCGAATTCATTGAAAGACAAAAGTGAATACCTCATCCTTTAAATATAAATATGCTTTTTATACTGATAAATTATGCTTTTGCATAAGGATAAATAATGCAATATTAAAAAATAATAATTTTTTAAAAAAAAATACTAAATTTGAATAAAAATTAACCTCTTATTTTTCACAATATTTTTTTAAAAAAATGTTATAATTTCTGCATCACAGGATGATAAAAAAAAGTCATCTATTTATCAAAAAAATTTTTTTTTAAATATTAATATATTAGTTTAAATTGGAAATACAAAATAACTGAAAAATGTATTAACAGTTTTGAAGGGCATAACATCAGTTTCAGTTACTGACACTGGTGATGTATTACCACTATGCTAAAAGAATTGAACATGAATGAAATAAAAGTAGTCTTGAATAGTACTATAGATAAATANTTCAAATCTAGTTCTTCCTTCTTCAAATCATCGTCAACATTTATATCGTATACATCTACAACAGATTGTTTAATTTTTTCACCAAGTACCTTAGAGCCTTTTTTAAGGCATTTGTTATAAATCAAATTATTTACAACAGAATTTACCGTTTTACCCACAGATTTAAAATTAACATTTTCTTTGGTGGTCAAAACTTGACGTTTCTTAGCTTTACTTTTTTCTTTCTGCTGGCTTTTGGAGCGATTTTCAGCTTCATGAATAACTGTCTTATCCCTGCAGACATTAGATGGCTTGATTTTACCATTTTGCTTATTGCTTTTAGGTAACTGAACACTATCAACGGTTGTTACATTCTCTTTGTCAATACTTTGAATACAAATTGTTTTTGCAGAGTTGGAAAGAGATTCACACGAAGGTTTTTTACCTCTTTTACGTAAATTTATTTTGGATACCTCAGGGTGAGCAGAGTTTTGGAGCCCAGTATTCACTTTTAAAAGCTGCCTTCGAGTTTGATACATATTCTGTGGATTATCTACAAATTAAGAAAAGAAATTAGATAAAAAATCGAAAGAAAGATAAAGAATTAGATAAATGTATTTTATATGTATGAAGTACATATTTACTGTATTTAATATCAGGGGTCTGTCTAGGTTTTTCTGAGAGTACCTATTTTGCGAAAATTTAGACATAATTTGTGAAAAATTAAAAATTATATTGAAAAATCAACAGAAAAATATGGTAAAAATATGGATTTATCGTTTCTTAAGGGATAAAAAAATAACATATTAAGAAAAAGTATTTTGTGAAACTACCGTTTTTCCTGAAGTTGAATTTATGAAACTACCGTTTTTCCTAAAGTTGAATTTGTGAAGGTACCGCTAAACGGTAGTAAATTCGGCCTGGACAGACCCCTGAATAAGTATATATGTTGCAAGAATTATGTCGATTTCCTCATTTTTTTATGTCCAAGTTGGTTAACTATTAAATTATATCAAATTAATAAATTATTATATTCACGAATTCCTTTAGTATATTATTCCTCACTGTTCAATAAAAATTATACTTCATTTAAACACTTGACAACCATATTAGCCCTAATAGATATTTTGGCAACATTTTTTACTCAACAAATGATAAAAGTAAATTAGATCGCAGCTTACTCTACATAACTACAACAGCTATTATAATATTTTATTATTTTTTGAGTTTTTAGTGTTATAGTGCAATATTCTAAATTACTAATTTTCAGTGACTGAATCTTGTCTAAAGATCATGTATGTTTCGCTAATGCTAAAAAATCAGAAAACTAATTTACATATGTGTAAAATGTGGTTACTTTAAAACAAGAAATTAAGTCTTTAATTTTGATTCATAAATCATAGTTAGGGCTGCAAGTTTGCCGGGGGAATATAGACCCCAAATTCGCAGAAAATTCGTAAAAAAAAATCTAAACATAAAAAAATTTATTATATAAATGATGCAAAAGACAGAAATTGCGCAAATAATAAAAAAAAGCTTAAAAATACACAACAAAAGTATTTCTTTGAATTTCAAGCAATATTAATATTTTTATTTAAATGAACAGAATTTTGGTACAAAGCATTGTACATTGTCAGATTATTCTTATTTATCCTTCGTCTTTCATCACTTAATACATTTTTATACTTAGAAAACAATTTTTTTGCATCAATGCCACTTTTGCCAATTTTGGAGCGTTCGGTCTTTAATTTCCAAAACTCGATCAATTTTCCTTCACCAACGCGCAATTCCTTGAACGTGGCTTTGTAAGAAGTAATTGCTGTGAAAACTCAAAGATTCTACATTCAAACTACTAGTTACAAGTCCCTACTAACTACTAGTCCCCCCCCCTCATCTAAGAAACTGATCCATATTTAAGAAATCACAAGAAGCCGCCTAGGAAAAATTAACTGGATATGTAGAAAGGCAGTAGAAATTTCATTGCCTAGTCCAATAGCATGTATAACAATTTTTCTATCAAAGATTTGATTTATAAAATTTTCCTTCTTTTGTGATTCCAATTTCTTTTGTACTTTTACTGACTTCAGGAAGGTAATTACCCTCCCTAAGTGTAGAAAGACCACCTTAGTTGACTTATCTCTGAACTATTTTCATGTCATTTTGCTATTGATTCACTCCCCTACATATCTAATCAGTTTCACATGTTCAATTTAAGGTTCAGGAAAATAAAAAATTCTGTTTAATAAAAATAATAAATAAAATTAAAAAAAAAATCAAATTTGAAGCAATTTTCGCGCAAGTCAAGACATATTGAGAAATTTGCGGATTTCAGGTAAAAAGATGACAATTTCGCGGAAATTCATGCCGCGACAAACCTGCAGCCCTAATCATAGTTGAGCTGAAAATAATTATCACGCCCTTCATTAATATTCACTTTTTACATTCCATCTACGATGCTCGAAAAGGGCAGGTATGACCATCTCCAATACCTATTTCACGAGCCGTGATGACTCAGGGGATAGAGCGTTTACCTTCTAATGAGGAGAACCGGGTCCGAATCCCAGTCGATACGAATTCTGCATATGGCTTGCACTGACCACAATGCTGACGTGATATATATTCAGTGGTAGAAATCATGGGTTAGAGTTCACTTACTGTTAGGCTAACTGTGGGAGGTTCTCGTGGTCTTCCTCTCCATGTAACGCAAATGCGGGTTAAGTTCCCTTGTCTTCTGGATTGGGTTCAAAATTACAAGGCTACGGAGTTGTACGTACGTAGTGTTAACCCATAAAATTGGGTTTACGACTAGGTTATAAATACTTGCAGATATTTTATTTTAAGGCAATGTTAAAAACAATATGAATTTTATGCGCACTAGTTTGCAGAATGCTTATTGTCTGGCAACATGGAAATAGTTAAGTTTTCTGTTAAGTAGGAACTGAGCATGTAACTCTTCTCAAGATATCCTGGACAAATTTTGCACAATATAAATCCGTAGGATTTTTTTTTACTCATTATAAATCTAATGAATCGAATCTGCAACTGCATTGTACAGCCTGGAGTGCAAAAGCTTATAAAATAATTATTTATATCCTACAATATCTGCGAAAAATTTTTTCAAATAACCAGGGTTTGGACGTCCTAAACTAGTTTTTGACAGTACACTTTGGTTTTACAGTCTTAAACTGAGCAAAACCGTCCTAAACTGTCTTAAAGTGTCCAAAACCTTGAACTTTGGTAAAAGGTAAAAATTCTAAGTGTGTAACCATTGTGCACATAATAATTACATATATCAATAAATATTTGATATTTTTCATACAATTTACTTTAACTTATTAAAGGAAAATAATATGAGATAATAGGGAAAGGTTTAAAATTTTTGAAGTTCTCCAATTCATTGAACGACAAAAGTGAATACCTCATCCTTTAAATATAAATATGCTTTTAATACTGATAAATTATGCTTTTGCATAAGGATAAATAATGCAATATTAAAAAATAATATTTTTTTTTAAAAAAAATACTAAATTTGAATAAAAATTAACCTTTTATTTTTCACAATATTTTTTAAAAAAAATTTTATAATTTCTGCAATACAGGAAGTCATCTATTTATCAAAAAAAAAATTTTTAAATATTAATATATTAGTTTAAATTGGAAATACAAAATAACTGAAAAATGTATTAACAGTTTTGAAGGGCATAACATCTGTTTCAGTTACTGACACTGGTGATGTATCACCACTATGCTAAAAGAATTGAACATGAATGAAATAAAAGTATTCTTGCATAGTACTATAGATAAATAAACCTGTTTATGACTAACCAAGCACTTAGTCCCTAATAGCTTAACCTGTATGGCAATGTCAAACTTCAGTTATGTACTATTAAATGAGAAATCCAATTGTATTTGATTACTGATTTATCTTCCTTCGTTTAAGAGTCAAACAATATTAATAGAACATTATACTTTTAAAAACAAATATTCTCTAGTAGATTTAATTACCAATATGTTATAAGTTCTATGTTTATTTTACCTTTTAAATATTGTTCAGATAAAAGTGTGACATAATTTGAGTAAAAGGGTTTTGGACAGGACGGTTTAAACCGTGGATTAATCCATTCTGTCTTAAAAATTGCCTACTCTGATCGGAATTCTACTGTGTCCGTAGACGCCGTGGAATATGTTTTTTTTTCCAAACTCGACATTCTACGGCGTTATTGAAATATCGATCTATATGAATTTTACAATGTCGTATACAATATTAATAAAATCTGACGTTTTCACACAGATCGATGTTTCGGAAGAACATCGATCGACGTCGTAAGCGAAGTTTTTTCGAGATCGATCGATATTGAGTGCTACTTGGGTATACGGACTGTAGACAGCAGTGGAGCTTTTAATGAAATCCTCCATTTTCTCACCATTTTTATCGTGATTTTATATTATTAGAGAAATCTTACAATGGCATTATTTTCCTATATAGGTTATTAGTTTAATTAGAGTACAGAATATATATTTCACAAAAAAAAAGCTTATAAAATTATAGGATACATACAAAGAGCATTCTAAATCGCTAACGGACGTTACTTTAAATATTAACTTTGTTTACTCACGTTAAAAAGGCATCAGAATTGTAATTATAATCTCTGTTTTTTGTATAGATCATTCCAATCATTGATTATTTAATTAATAAGAATCGCGAATAAAATCAGTTTTCCATTTTGCGCGCTCATTTGTAATTGTTGATGATATAAATGGATCTATGAGAAAAGTGCGGCGAGCTCTCCGCTTTAGCTTATAGCTTTGTGTTTCTATTAATGAAGCGTATAGTGGTGGATAGCTAGCAGAAAAAAAGTCAGCGGTTTGTGAACGGTCAACTTTTTCCCCCCTACCAACTCGTGGTTTTCCATTTTTGTTTATTTACATTTGCTACATTAACAGTCACCATTCATGAAGTTGTGCGTTAACAGCAAATTTTAAATTTTGCACATGCCTTAGTAATGTACATTAGCTGATTCTACATTTGTGACTAGAAATTAAAATACCTGAGCTTTTGATGTCGATTAACATGTTAAATAAACATGTTCTTTTAACAGGAGCGCCAGGTATGTCATGTTGAAAGTTTTTTTTTTTGTTTGTTTCTGTTTGAATCAATTAGTATGATGAACAAGTAACAATATTTTCTTCTGAATTTTAGGTGTTGGCAAAACAACTTTAATAAAAAAAGTCTGTTCTAAACTTAAAGAAAATGATAAGCATTGTGAGGGTTTTTTTACAGAAGAAGTAAGAACAGGTCGAGAGAGAATTGGTTTTGATATTGTAACTTTATCCGAACAACGAGGCAATTTAGCACGAGCCAGGTGATTATCAAAATCTACTGAAACCGATTATATATTTGTAACGTTTGCAATATAAGTACAACTAACATATATCTTCATGTGGTTTGCTCTTGATTTATTTTCATATATATTGGTTAATTTTCAAATCTGGAAATATAAGAGGGTCCCCTTATTGTAAACTGTTACTCTCTCAAATTATCAAATAAAGTATCGTCTATGAATTAATGTCTCATAAATTAAAAAAAAAAAATTTAGGAATAAGAAATAGATTTCTGCATTGTAAACTGCACCCTAGATTTGCCAAAAACCATGTTTAGAAGAAAAAACCCATCCCATGTAGGTATTTTCATAATTTATCGTAAGTGGGGTTTTTCAAATATATTCCCGGGATGATTATATTCCCCATTGATTATTAGAATAAGATATATTTTGTATTGGAAAAATATTGTTCGATTATAACCAAATACAGTACAGAACCGGTTATCCGGAAATCGAAAAACCGGAACGAAATTCGATAAATTTTCCCTCTATTTAAAAAAATAAAATTTTTCTTACTCATAAGATTTTAGGATTTTTCTTTCTTTTTTGAAAGATGTTTACCTTACCATCATTTTGGAAATAATTATTATACAATTAATTATNTTTTAAGATTATTTCTAAATATTATTCTAATTTTTGTTGGGTTTAACAATAAAAAAACCGCTTTTTGTAGCGAATCAGAAAACCAGAAAAATCAGTTATCCGGAATAGCGATGGTCCCGATCGTTCCGGATAATCGGTTCCCTACTGTAGATGAATAAAAGAAATGGTCATGGGAATAACTATTTTCGTCATTTTTCTGCTATCTAAATGTGTAACGAATTGCATAATAATGAAGTTACTGAAATGCTTCTTTGTAAAATGTAAAGAATAATTTAAGTGATTAGATATATAAATTATGTCTAAGCACGTAATTTGCTATAAGGTTCATGAAGGGAATTTCTGGAAACAATAATAGAACAAGTTGAGATCAAAAAATTTCCAGAAATTAATTTTTTACATAATATTCTATTAATTAATTTTATAAATAAATATAAATTGATCAATTATTTATTTTGAAAAATATTATGATTCAATATTATGCACGCGATGTTTGTAAAAGTAGAAATATTTTCTTAGAATACTATATTTGGAATTTAAACTTAGGGAAACTAGTTCTCCCTCTCCCCCTCTGGGAAGGGTTTATTTGCAACGTATAACAAATATATAACAAAGCAACATATATAGCAATATATAACAAAATAATGAAGATAAACAAATTTGTGAAGGGTCCGATAAAAAAAAAATATTATTTTGTGAAGGGTCCGTTAGCAGACCCAAATTTCTTCTAAACAAACCCCTGATTAAGCACGATTTTGTTTTCCTCTAGTAGACCTCGGTGTTTTTGTGGTGTTGCATGGCAGAGGTATTTTATCTTCCAACGAACTTTTCATTGAAAATACAAATGTTTAAGTGACTGGGTTTATCTGTGGTGCATAGTTTTTTGGTTATGTGGTACATTGGTTTTGGTTTTTTTAATGTTATAATACGATTAAATTTGTGACTTGTTATTTCTTAAATATTTTCCACAATTTCTAGAATAAATTTTTTCTACACACCATAAGTAATTGAACTTTTAAAAATCATTAAAATAATTATTAATTTTACGATAAATTAATGTCTGCAATCTTTCTTAAAATCAGAAATTGTTTCAATAATTTTCATCATAACTTTTCAAACGTGTGTATTAGGTTAGTAAATATTGATTTAAAATGCCTGCATTTGTAAACCAAATGATTTAGAACCTAAATATAATTAAAATAAGTTTAAAAATACAATAAATTGATTGAATTGATGTATTAAAATATAATAATTGATGAATCAGTCACTTTATCGTAATTTGATTTGAAATACCTAAGTAGTGTAATTAAATACCTAAAACTAAAGTGCTAACTCGAATTTGAAATTCGCGTTTTGTAATAACATGTTAAATACATCGGAGTTTAAAAAACATAGTGTAAAAGGCCAAAAATATGATAAAAAATATCAGATTTAGAAAAATCATGTGAAAGGTGCCAATAAAAGGATATAACTGCCAAAATAAAAACTATCATAAAACGGCAAGAAATTGTGATAGAATTGTCGCGAAACGGAAGCATCAAATAGTGTTATACTCAAATTTGAATTTCGAACATCCTATTAAACATATCAGTATTTAAAAAACCACAGAGAAGGGCTGAGAAAATGATTAATAAGTTTAGAAGAAGCCATTATTACTCCAGTATTCTCCATAAATAATTTACAAACATATACCAATACCTGATGCTCTTAGTTGAGACCTTTGATGTCGTCTTAAACATGCCCCTTCCCACAACTTCATTTGCAGAGTTAGTGAGTGCTGTTCACGAGGTTAAAGAATCGCAACAGTTAAAACCAGCAATTATGAATGACTTGCCTGAAACAGTTATGAAAGTTCTTTAGATTATACAGAAACAGAGTTTTCCTAGGAGTAAAAAATGTGTAATATTATGTAATACGTAACTGAATTTGACCCTCAACAATTTTTAAATTACCCTCTTATGCTACTTTTTGTGCATAGTTCTAAGAATAATCTCTCATTAAAAAAAATATCTAATTTCTTCTCTCATAAAAAAAAATTGTATTCTATAAAAATAATTAAAGGCATGCTAAAAGACAGTCACTAAAGGAGTTTAGGATTGTCTCTTACAGTGAGAGCTTGGAAATATTTAATTAGTAAAGACTGTGAAAATATTCAATTGTTACAATTGTTAATATAGAAATAAAATTGGTTTTATTTATTTATTTTAGTATTCCAAGTAGTAGAACAACTCCCAAAGTTGGAAAATATTCAGTTGATGTCGAGTCTTTTGAAGCATTGGCTCTACCATGTTTTAATTGTTGTGTAAGTAAAATTTTAGTGATTTGTTGGAGGAAAAGAAACTATTTATATTCTTGTGCACATTTGTGGAAAAACAAGCATCTGTTATGTTATATAAGTTATTTTGCTGCCTCACTCCTAACAGCACAGCTAAAGAACAGGTAAACTTAGTTGAAGATTCAGTTTGAGTTTCTGTTCTAATTTGACAAAGTTGAAAAAAAGCATGTGCGACGATCTTCACTTTTTATCTTCTGTCTGTTGCTAAATATTTTTTTTACCTACTCTGATAAAAACAGTTAAGGGAAGGTATCGGATAATAGTTTAGGTCTTTGTGCACACCTTTTCCATACAGTGGCCTGTGAGGTCGTAAGGTAGTGACAATGTGATTGCGTTTCTGTAGAGTTACCTCATTTGCATACCCAAATAGTAGGGTATGGACATTTTGAAGCATAGAAGCTTAGCCCAAATCCTTGTTTTTTTAAATTTCTTTGTTTACCTATCGTTAATCAGGGGTCTGTCCAGGCCGAATTTACTACCGTTTAGCGGTATCTTCACAAATTCAACTTTAGGGAAAACGGTAGTTTCACAAATTCAATTTTGGAAAAACGGTAGTTTCACAAAATACTTTTTCTTAAAATTTCATTTTTGTATCCCTTAAGAAACGATAAATCCATATTTTTGTGTTGATTTTTTAATATAATTTTTAATTTTTCACAAATTACGTCTAAATTTTCACAAAATAGGTACCTGTCAGAAAAACCTAGACAGACCCCTGCTAATAACGTAGATGGGAATACCTTAAGCTTTATCCACAAGCGGAAAAACGAAATGATTTTGTTCGCAAACGCAAACATGAAGCCCGTCCCTCACAAAAGTACCAAAGTGGTTGAGAGAATTGAACCCTACCGAAGAGCAAATGGTGACTCTCCGAACCCCTTTCATGCAAATACGAGAACTGGGTATTGATCGCCAGTTAGGGATAAAAGGATCCATTGTCAACGTACCCAATGACTTGCACAAGACCGTAGACTGCCGCAGTATAAATGATTCATTCACTATTCATGTAAAATTGAAAAAAAAACCTAGATTCCAAATCTTATTTCATGTATGAACTTGTGAATCCGAAACGGGTGTATGCTTACAATCTCCTTCAAGCACCATTGTGCCAATCCGAAAATATTAACATTGATCTCAATTGGCTGTTCTTGATTGTCTATTCAGTCATCAAAAGAATTTACACAGAATGTATCTGAGCTGCATTTAAAATATGTTTGCTAAATTGTGTTCCGAGCAGTTCTGGATTAACAGTTAAAGATGTCCAAGATCAAAACACAATAAAGTTTCTTTTTTCAGAAAAAAAAATTGGACAATAACCATTTTGCCAATGAGTAACATGTGATCATCTTGCGACAATGACAATTTTTTAATAATTTTAAATTTTTTTCTCTGATTTTTTTTTTTTTTTTTTTTTTTTTTTTTTTTTTTTTTTTTTTTTTTTTTTNATAATATTGTGACATTTGGTCTAAATTATAGTTTTGCAAAATTTTATTAGTTTGAAGAATGTTAAGTTACAGCTCAGCGCAATTAAATGTTTAAAAGTACGCGATGTATTACATATTTTTTTACTTTTCTTAAATTTTATAAAATTTCAAACGAATTTCAATATATTATACTTTAATATTAATGCTAGTAAATAATGATTATATTGATTATGATTATTTATAAAGTATTTTTATTTTTAGAGGTTTTTGAATTTTTTTTTTGCGGGGTAATTTTATTTCTTTTTCATGCTACTTCTCTATTTAAACATTTAATTGGCCTTCCCCTTCTTCATCACGAGTCAGTTATAAATTAAAATAATTTGTAATGAACTTCTATCAAAATTTTCCGTTTGTTCGTTTTTTACTCATTTGATTTCACATTATTATATTATTATTAATTTCATATTCGTACATATATCGAACGCGTTTCTAAAAGAAAAAAATTAAAATTTAGATAAAAAATAATTCGGCGAAATTTAATTTCAATTGAACAATAATGATGATAAAGTTAGATGCATTTAAACATCTGTCTACGGTAATAGATCAAACTCAAAAGAAATTAATTTGTTATTTTGTCATTATTCTTATTTTTTTGAATGTTTTTTTCCCCCCAATGCCCACCTGTGTTAACATCCATCAATTCTGGCATATACAGGGCGATTTTGTTTGCCCATCTTTCAAGGACACCATACTAGGTGGGCCAACGTCGCTCCCACAGTGAGGACAAATTGTACAGAGAAAGAAAGAACATCAATGCCTTGCCCGGGATTCGAACCCAGAACATTTCAGATGCAAGGACATTTCCCTGCCCCCTACACTAGCCGGTCGACTTTTTTGGAATGTTTGAAATTTCAGAGCCATTTTTCTTGTACGATACCATTTTTCTATTATTCTATTAGCATTCCCATGTTTTTAAAGTTAAACGAATTTTTGAATGTTTGGTGAACACTAAGGATAAAATTAAACTTTAGATCATTGCAGTGTAAAAAAATAAATGAAACTAAACTAAAAGAGTGAGAACAGTTTAAGATTCAAAACGTTTCAAATAAATTATATTTCATTTTCAAAAAAGTATGGAGGAGCGAACTACGCAACAGATCCTACAAGAGACAAGACGTTTGGCGATTGCAGTTCGCAATTGGCGATGATATGGTGCGAAGCAAAGTAATATTAAATGTGGTGGTAGAACGTGTGGTGGTGGTGGTTTTTTTATTCTGAACTTTTGGTAAGTAAAATAAAGTTACTGAATTTTAAAACGCTTAGGCAAGAGATGTTTTACGTTAAAAGTTTATTCTATTAGAAATATTGCACAAATTAATAAAAATAGGCTATTAATTCGTTCTGTTTCATTTGTAAAAGAGGTTGTATTCCCGGTTTTTCCTATCTTCCTTACGGATTTAAAAACTAGGAGCGGGGCATGTAATTTTTTTTATCGAATTTCGCGGAATGGACAATTACAGCATATCATGAATTTTTTTATTTTCATATCTAACTTATTGGAAATTTTCCCCTGAAACCGAAAATTTGATTGTTTTTTGCGGCAAATGTTAATTTATTTAGTTATTAAACATTTAAATTGCCCCAAAAGGCCTCCGTAAGTGATGCAATCAAAAACGACCCCTGATTGGTTATGACGTCAAATGTGCCGAAGGGAAACGTGCCGTCTCCATCCGCTAAGGCTATTTCAATGCTCTTTTAGTTTTGATATCACGTATATCGTATGAACATCCTTTGTAAATTATCAGTAAAAATTTTGTGAATTAAATTTACGGTTCTGAGAGTGTGTGCAAAATGAAAGAAAGATTTTAAAACTTCAAACGTTGTTATTTATCATTAAAATATCTGAAGAAATGATTATGTAGCTCTTTACAGCGAATCAACATTTCTTTTCGGCTGAAATCAGTGGTGCTAAAGTTCATAGAAAATACTATTT